AGTGTTCCTATCTCTCCGCATCCATGTCAACAAGAACCTACAGACAACGTTAAGTGAGGACTTAGTGTACTCATTTCAAATTATTTGAGCACTTATTAATTCCTGGATAAGGTATAGCCATGTGCAATCAGACTGAAAGGATATGCACTCAATATCAGTTTTAATATCAAAGGAGATGAATGTCCCTGGTTTGCCATGATGTGACCCTTCCGGGGCAAGATATAAATAAGAGACCAGATAAACTTCAGCCTTTTGAATTTGAAAAGTCAAAACTCTAATCTTTAACATTCCTACTTGTCAGGAGTTGTTTAGCTTTTAGCACATTTAGTTAATTTATATGGGCATTTTTTGATATTTTTTCTAGTATTCAACTTCTTGGAAATAAAGATGACTATATACTAGATTGGCAAAAAAATGGTATTCCTTAAAACTAAATATTATCATGAATGATAATTTGCATAAGAAGATATCTCCTTCAAAATATAGTAAACAGTGCAGTAAGAGTTAAATGAAAAGATCCATAGACAGTTGAGACATGAAATTTCTAATTTATAGAGGTCATGAATTTAGAATTGTCAAGCTAGTCTAAACAAGCTTAAATGCTGTCTGGGAATCCAGCTTGGAGCAGAATTTTTGTGTGCCTGCCCTGAGTCACCACGTAGGATTTGGGGCAGGGATCTCTGTGGGACTCCAGGTATCCACGAGGTTGCTTCCTGCTGGAAGGTGCCTTCACCCACTGCGAGCTCCTCCTTCCCCGGAGTTTAACAGACACCCTGATTAGTGAGCAATGAGAACTACAGAAGAGTTCTATGCACAGCATCCTCACCCATAATCCTGACCTGGGATTCAAATTAGCAATATTTGATGTACATCATGATTCAATTTGTAAATAGGCAGTAGATTAAAACAAAAGCAAAAAATCAGGTCTGTGGAACAATAAAGTGAATCTCTGTAAGATACATTTACCAAATGACACATGGCATCTCACTATCAAAATCAGATCTGCAAACCCGGAGACAGCATCAGGCAGCCTAAACTCCCCATAGCTGCTGAGGCCTGAGCTCATCCCCTCATTATAGTGCAGGGGATGGGTGTGAGGAAGTGGCAGGTTGTCAGGAAACCATTCCAAACAGGCTTCCAGAAGCAAGTTTCTAGAAGCTGTGCTGTTGACAAAGCAATGGGTGTTGACTATAATTTCATCTCAGATCTACGATTTATCTCAATCCATCTTGACTTGATTTAGATTCTGTTCAAACATATTGTTTATAATAAAAAATTCTCAAATATTTTGCTCCTGTGGGCATGTTTTAAATAATGGTAGAAGAATCTGCTCATACCTATGGATCAAATGTTTGTGTTCCCCCAAGATTCATATGTTGAAGCCCTAATCCCCAATGAAATGTTACTTTGACGTGGGTCCTTTGGAGGTGATTAAATCATAAGGATGGAGCTTTTATGAATGGTATTAGTGCGCTTATAAGAAGAGACAGAAGAGTGAAGCTCTCTCTTCAGTTTGTGAGGACATAATAAGCAGGCAGCCGTCTGCAAACCAGGAAGAGAGCCCTCACCAGGAAACAAATCATCAGGCACTTTGACCTCAGACTTCCTGTCTCCAGACCCATGAGAAATAAATGTCTGTTGTTTAAGCTACCCAGTTTATGGTAATTTGTTATAATAATCTGATTGATTAAGACATTCATCAAAATAAAAGCTGGAGAGTTTCATTATAAATCATCAGAAGCTCACTACAGATCATTATAAACATAAGGGAAGCAAACATCATGTTCCCGTGGCCTCGGGTGGAGAGTAGATCAGAAGGCTCCCGTTGAGACCTCAGGCTGTTCTGCACTGACCCACCCAGGTCTGCTCAAGGATAACCACATTCCCCACCACCCACCACCCCTGAGGTATTGATGAGAACCTCAACTGCCTCCTAGGATTGCAAGGAGATGGCCCTATTCTCTGTGGCATTAGCATGAACACTTATGATGAAAAACTAGGAACATTTTTGGAAAGGTCCAGTTCATTCATTCCATAAACCTACTCCATGCCATGCACTCTGCAGAGCATTAATGATAAAAATGGCAAAAAAAAAAAAAAAAAGATACAATTTCCATCTGAAGCCTGGTGAGCAAGACAGACAGTGCAATAGTAATTCCTTTCCTTCTCTTAAAACAAACAACAATAAACGACGGTCCCTTCCTTGACATTCCATCCCCTCCAGACACCGCGTCAATTCTCTATTCCTCTTCCCTGAATCACTTTAGGAGGAGCTGCTCTGAGCAGCTGTTTCTACTTGATTTCTGCCTATGCCCTGCCTCTCCTCCCCTCCTTCCCCCAGACTGGCCCTTAGAGGCACCTGCAGCCTCCATCTGCCCATCCAGTGGTCGCATCCATTCTGATCTTCCTTGAATGCTCAGTGGCACTGCCCATAGCTCCTCCAGCCTGCATCTTGCAGCCTTGGCTGTTTCAATCTTGGATACAGGGCTGGCTCCTCCTCTGCAGCCAGCACTCTGCATAATAGTCCCCTCCTGGCTGAGGCAGACCCTGCCCAGCTGGGACAAGAGCCTGCCTGGTGTTCGCGCCCACATCCCTCTTTATGCATCTGCTTGTCGTTGTCTCTCTGGCCTGTAACTGACTGGTTTATTTATTATCTTCTGTCCACATTAGGACATGGCCTCCAGGATGGCAGGGCAGTGCCAGTCTGCTCACCAGTTTACTGTGCAGTGCTTCAAATGAATTTGACAAATAGTAAAGGTTCAGTTGCTACAGCAACTTCATTTAATAAACCTTAATTGATAAATATATAATTATGAATTGAGATGATTTTGTGTTCTATGAGAAGGTACCAATTATACAGAACACTGGACAAAGAATGAGGGGAACAGATTCCACAGTGAGGTTGCCTTGTCTGGGGACCTGAAGGCAGGAAAGAGGTGGGCATGTGTGCAGAGTTGACCCTGGTCCCCGAGGCTGGCCTTGCACAACCTGACCTGTCTGTGGAATAAACTGAGATGGAATGTGCCTACCACACGCTAGTTACTTTGGAAACTGAAGAGTTCTCATTGTTATTTGTGATTTGATGAACATTGTTGCTTACGTTTGCCGCAAAATATTCTGTTATTTATGTGCAAAAACATGTTCTCCCACTGTCCACAGATATATTTTTCTGGAAGCACTGTTTTTGAACTAATTAGATATCACCAAGACAATCCCAAGATAATATTTTATCCAGCAATGTCCTCTAACAAAGCACTCCATTGTCTTAATCACCCAAATTAAAATGGTCTTGCAAAGAAAAGACTTATTTTATGAATAGTTGAGGAATGATAGTTAAGAAACAAGCCATTGTTTTTCCAATTAATATCACGACTAATATGGTGAACAAAGAGAGAAAGTGAAATTAAGATTTCCAAAAAGATGCACTGAGAATGAGGAAGATATAAGTGAGCATCGTGGGTTTTGTGGGTTGCAAGGAAAGAAGACAGACCCAGAGCTTGAGATTGAAATTGCATGCTTAGAATCCAAAACACGAAATCAGAAGGTGGCAGAAAACTCCTCAGAGGAGGGCAGAGCTCCTACCTGTGGCCAAGTAGATGATGTGGACGAGTGCATCTCGGCCCTGAACCACGTCGACGGCCACGTGGGAGAAGCGGCTGTTGTCCTCCATGAAGGAGGGCACGGTGGTCACTGGCTGCACCACCTCATGCATCAGAATGAACTTCTGAGCATCCTGCAGGTTCCTCTCTGTCAAGTTCACATACACGCCCTGGTCCACGGTGCCGCACTGCAAGAGAAGACAGGCCATGTTACCGGAACCCACTGCCTGGACACCCACAGCTGGGTGTGGCCACCCCAGCCGGAGGGTGACTTGGAAACTGAACAAGCCACAATGAATAACTAAAGCATGCAAACGTGTTTGCTTCTCCATTTCCCTGATGCTCCTATCCTCAGCATCCCTCCCATTTGAGATCTGAACACATCATACTGGGGAGTCTCTCAACACCATCCTAAATGAACGGATCAGAAGTTTAAAAAACAAACTGGAAGTCATTGCTAACTTAAACAGCACATACCTAGAAACTCCTCTCCCGTGGAGTCACGTGAGAGCTGTCTGGCTCAATGCATACTATTATATTTGTCTGATAAATCAGGTAACCAAATTGAAAATGTAGCAATCAGGGACATCATATTGATTTATTAGTTTTCCTATTGTAGCAGTGGCTCTAGAAGCAAGACATGGATTCTGTGGCAGTAGCATTATGCCATTTTAATCTGTGGTCCATGTAATATTCTGATATCATTCACATGGGCTGCAAAAACACTGTGCTAGCATTACTGCTTTGTGCTTATATTCCAAGTTAGAATAAATTTAAAAAAATTGTTTAGAGTCTAGAAATCTGAGAAAGAAAACGGAAAATTTACAAGAAGAGAGAGAGAGATGAGACAATGGAAGTGAGGATAGGAGGAAGAAGAGAGTAGAAAAGAAGGAAGGAAGAAAGGTTTGCAGATAGAGCAAATATCATGAAGGTGAATCCCGCACATACAAGGGAGGGCTCAGGCCTGCAAATTGCTGAGAATTAAATTCAGACCTGTGCTGCAGAGAGGCTGGCAGGTGTTACTTATGACAGTCTCCAGTAAGGACAAGGTAAAAAGAGGGATAGGAAAGAAAGCAGGGCTTTCGTGGAGCCGAGATCACAATCAGAACATCACCACCAAACCATCTCATGTCTTTCGTAAACATGAAATCCTGGTACAGATGGTGACTGGTCCTCGGCAGCACTTCACACAGTAGGTTTGATGGAAGTGAACTTCCGGGCCCACACCACTGGAAACTATTGTCTATGAGAGGTATTTCTAATTCTTGGTTTTATAACAGGTTACAAATGCGAATGTATAAGATGGAAATTGCTTTTTTTAAAGTAGATGATATTTTTGTAGCATTTGGTAAAATGCCCACATGCCATAAAATGATAGGCTGATTGTAGAATAAGAGAATCATAAAGTTAAATGAATTTCATGTGTTTAGTCCAATAATTTAATATCAACTTCCTGCAGGAGCGCCCCATGTCCCGCCTGAAGGGTCCGTGTGAGTTCAGGTGGAGGGCTCGGCCCTGCAACCTGTGACCCAGGGGGTCCTTTGGCTCCATAACTCTGGAACCTCGTGGTCTCAGGTGAGGGGTTAATTCCAGCCACATGGTCTCAAGTAGGGCCTCGCTTCTCAGCTTCTTTCTGTTCCCTGCAGAGTGGCTAGAAAAATACCTACTCTGTTCCCTTCTCAAGGCTGTTGTGAGACCAGCTGAGATAATCAGTGGAAAGTATTTGTAAATTAATTGAAAGTCCTTGTAAATGCCAAAGAACAGGACAATGTGCCTGGCACAGAGAAGCCATTCAGCCAATGGTAAATGGTAAATGCATTCGTCTTGTAGCAGGACAGCGATTCTACGGTCCATTGAGCTTCAGCGGCTGGAGGGAAATGAGTGAACAAACAAAGGAGGGAAGGAATCAGAGAGTGAGTACACAAGCAATCACCACTGGGGGCTGAAGGGAGAATGTGCTAGGAGATTTTATACAATTACAGTATCAAATAGTAACACTTGGAGGGCAGGAACATTGCCTGTCAAGAAGTGTTTTAAAAAATGAAAAAGAGCTCCACTGGGCTGGATCTGAAGTTTATGCAGGTGAGTTCTAGTTCTGAGGATGCCTTTGTGTTCAGTGGTTTTATTCCTGAAATCGACAGCAATACCTAAGGCACAGGTGGCAGTCAGCTACCTGCCTGCTGGGTGAAGTGTGCACGCAGGTTTTTGTTTCGGATGCTACGTATGCGAGGTGTCTGTAAAAAACTGGTATCACAAAAACCAGGAAGCATAATGTAAAAATGAGGACCTCTGGCTGCTCTGGAGGAAACGAGAGGTGGGGGACCCAGGAGGGAGCTCCCAGCGGCCTGGGCTACACAGCAGGGCCACTAGCTTTGCCTTCTAGTCCTCATTCCCGGACCACGGGACTCATTTAAGTCATCTGCCTGAATGGTCAAGAACTGGTTTTGAAGTATATTCTACTACTCCTTGGTTTCTTTTGCCAGCCTATAATGAAAATCCTGCCCAAGGATTCAGTTTCAAATACTTTTGGTTCAAATTTAGAGGCTATATTTATTAGAGTGTAAGCACACTACCTAGTCTCTCCTGATTGTACATTCTGCAGCTGTGCCTTGCATGCTGGTCTCCTGCAGTGTCCGTGTGGGGCACTGGGTGACACCCTGGGGACAGCATGCAAGAGGAAAATAATAAAAGCACATCCACTGTCCTCATGGGGCTTACAACCCACCCTGGGTATCATGCCAACACCTCTTTAAGTAATAACGTCAGTAACTCTAATTTTGAAAAATAGTAATATTAAATACTTGCATTTTATATATTTACTTGTTTAAAGGACAACCAATCCATCTGTGGATTGGTTTGGTGGTCCAGCCTGCAATCACCTATCTTCCTGCTAAGGGTACCCGATTCTAACGGCCCTTCTGTTCACCTGCCTCCCTGCTCCCTCCCACCTTGCCGCAAACATGCACTGAGTATCCAAGGGTCTTGATGGCAACAGCCAGATCTCTGCTCTTGGTTCCCCCAGCAACAGCCTCCTCATCCAAGTGGCCACTTTCTTTTTCCATTGGACTTCATCCTTTCTGATCAGTGGTAATCAAAACTGCACAGAAATTTCTGGAGCCTGCCCTATACTGTAGCTGTGTCTAGATGATGTTTCATTTTAGTAACTGATGCTTTTCTTAGTAAGGCTTAGGGTGTGGATGACTTTGAAGACTGGAGTCACTAACACGGTGGGCTTTAAAGCACCACCTAGGGTGGTTTCTAGATTGCGACTGAGAAAAATAAGAAATAGTTTCTGGTGTTTCATTATTGTTTTCAATTGAGATTTCTATATTAAATGCTGAAATATCATGCACTGTCACTCCTAACCCGTTCTTCTTCCTGAATCTGAATTCCCTTTCTGCTTCTTTGATTCATGGTATATAGAGTGCTACAATAAATTCCAAATGTCAATATAAAAAGTAAGAATTTAAAAAATCCAACAACTTCTTATTGTCAGTTATTGCAAACATAAGGCCCATCTGGTGGAGGAGATCTTTCAAAGTGAATTCCTACTCCATGCCTGTCTGAATGGTTTCATGAATGTCCATCAGCATACCTATGCCAGTGTGGCTATCGAAGACAGCAAAGAAGAAAACACTTGGTCCTTATTTATACTAGGAGTTATACAAAGAATCACTATAATCTATAACTTTGGTCCCCTACAAGTCTTAAATTCTACCCCAAAAGACGAGCTCAGCTATGCAAGCTTCCTGCCTGCAGTGCATGCCACATTTCTGCATGCTTCATTCATTATGCTGCATGGACCCACTTCCAGCTCATAAAGGAAAGTAAGCCCTTCTTGTGACACTGGCATTATAAAACCAGATGCTTTTGGCCTTAGGAAATGAGGGGATTTGCTGTGTGCTACAAATGTATCCAGATGAACCAGCTAAAAGTTATCCACTGCCTGGAGGTAAGGAACTACAAAGTTTATTAAGTCACTCTGTTCATTGTGAGACTTTTGTGATAAAAACATCAATAATTGAAAGTATACTATAAATAGAATAAGCATCTTTCAGTTTTTAACCTTCAGGATTTTACAAGGACTTTCTTAAAAGGAGTGCTGTATTTTCTCCTCTATACAAGAGGAGAACATGAGACAAAGTATGTATTTACCCAACATGTAATGCCCAGAAGGCATCAAATAAATGGTCCCTAAGAGTCATTTTAATCAAATACTTTATACAGTAAGCAATGCACATTAATCAGTATTATAGAAATTTACTCCTAAAATATTCCTATGAATTTGTATCCATCATTCCCCATTTTATTGATGAAAATATGAGATAAAAGATGCTAAATAATTTGCCAAAAAAAGCAGTAAATGGTAAAGATGACATGTAAACCAGTTATCTTATTCTGAACCCCACGCTCTTTCAAAAATTTTAAAACAACAACAACAACAAAAAAACTCCCTCAAACAAATATAATTGAATGGTCCTTGACAAAGTCCAAGTAAAGTGTAAATAACCGAATCTTTCCATACTCCCAGTCTTCTCAGAAGCCAAAGCATACAGCCTTTGGGATGATGGCCCAATCAGGATTTGGAGTCCTGCACACAGCACCCACTTCTACCACTGATTAGTAATGGTAACTAGCAGTCATTTAGTCAGAATAGGAGGAGGTTTTGCATCTGAGGACCAAGGTTGGGATCCCAGCACGGTCACTAATCAGCGGTGTTGCCTGAGCCAGAGTATCTGCCCCAAGGCTGCTTCTCTGTATGTAGAAACCCATCGCTCATCACGGCCCTGTTGCCATAATGCAAGATGATGCATCTGAAGCACCGAACAGGGTGTCTGGGACTCGCTGGTGCTAAAATTTCCATGCAGGGTGACGACGACGATGCTCCTACGAAAGCTGTCGAGAAGCCCTCAAGGGAAGTCTGCTGTTAGGGACTAAATGTTTGTGCCCCTCCCAATCCATCTGTCGCAGCCCCAACACCCAGCGTGGCTATATTTGGAGGTGGGGCCTCTGTGAAAGTAAATGAGTGTAAGCGAGGTCATAAGGGTGGATCCCTGACCCGGGGGAATGGCTGCCCTTATATAAGAAGAGACACCAGAGCTGTCTCTCTCCACGGACCATGTGAGTACACGGCGAGAAGATGGCCATCTGTGAGCCAGGAAGAGAGAGCTCTCACCAGAAAAGGTCCCTTCTTACATGCTGATCTTGAACTTCTAGCCTCCATAACAGTGAGAAAATAAATGTGTCTGTTTTAAGCCACCCAGTGCGTGTTGTTTTGTTGCAGCACGCCAAGCAGATGAACATACCTGCTGACCGACCAAACATGAGTAAATCGCTCCGTCTCTCTGGGTCTCAGCTTCTGCACGCTGGGAGGTGGGAGTGCTCACAAGGCCCTTACAGGCTGAACCCCCTGCACTTCTGTGGTTGTAGACGAACAGCCTCCATCTCCTTTTCTCCCCTCTACGTTCTCTCCTCTCCAACAGGAAACCCGCCACATTTGCCAATTAGAGCTCTAATCCTGTTTGCGTCTGCACTGCTCTGTGCCTCGCACCCATTCATTAGAACGCCATTCATTAGGGATTAGGCGTTCTGGGGACGCGGAGCCCGGCATCATTAGTACTAATTGCCGCCTGGGTTCCTAACGCGCTGCAGAATGCTGGCCTTTTTCAGCCCAGTCTCAGGCATCACCGCTGACGACAGGCCCTTTTCTGGCCCAAGTGCCACAGCTGACAAAAGGCCCCGGTCCATTGACATTAGCCCAGAGGAGGCGTGGGGGACTGTCCGCGGGGGCCGGGGGCACTGCAGCTGCAGGTGCATGCACCCGTGGTTCCAGTTTCCCTGCCTGTCTACACACGGTGTCTGCATTCGCCCAAGTGCCCCTGTGCCCCTGAAGTTACCTGGAAGTTGGGGTTGGGGTTGGGATAGGGCAGCCAGGCGGAGCGCGAGTTCTCCTGGTACTTGAAGGGCCCGGTGAAGGCCTGCGCGATGGCGCTCAGGTTGAAGACGCACACGGCCGACGCGGCGATGCTGTTCCTGGGGGCCGAGGAGAGAAAGGAGAGGGCGGGTCAGAGGGCCCAGCAGCGAATGCTGACCTCCACTGACCTCCGCTGAGAAGCTTCCAGAGACCTCCAGGCCACCGTCTCTCAAACATCCCAAGAGCATGAAGTTGGAGCAGAGAACGGGGCTCCCTGCGGAGGAACAAGCGCCTTGGTATAGGAACTGGCTAGTTAGCGGCTGTGACAGGGTAATCCCGCCAGAGGGGATTAGTTTACCCAGCCAATGGGGCAGTGAGGGATTTTGAAGAGCTGTGTGTTACATCTTTTAAATTATAGAAGGAAAGGACTTTCTCCTCCAGAGGACGGAGCTGATTTTCTGCCTTGTGGGGCTGCCTTCCCAACCCGTTTATCTGGTTACTTTGCCTGGTGGGAGGGGAGACTTAATTTTCTTGGGTTTTTGCTATTTTTTATTATTTAATACCCAGGGATTTGTGTTTATTTGTGATCCTTTAAAAATAATTAACTTATAGTACTTTGAGAAAAGTGATCGTCTGACCCTTCATTTTTCTTTATTTATTTAAAAGGGATTTTAAATTCAAAGAGTCAGAGAGAAAAACAACATAGCACTAACATGTGGAATCTTGAAGCTGTAATTCAGAATTCAAGCTCTGCAGAGAAAGTCATGAATGGGGGACTCTCAGCAAATCAGCGCCCTTTGACTAAGCAAGGAAACAGCAAGATGATTGTGTAAATAGATTTCCATTTTCACCTCAGCTCGGGATCTCAAAGAGGAAACAGAGTTAAAAGTAGGAAGCTTCACTTTCCACGTTAATGCTGAGACAATACTGCGTCCACATCTCAGCAATTGTTTTATTTGCATTAGAGAAAAAAATCAAGGAAACTCCAAAACTGAAATACCTACCTTGTATTTGTTTTATCTGACAAATACTGAAGCTAAATAGGTGCTAGCCACTCTTCTAAAGGCTTTACTGCTTCTAATTCATTTAATCTTTATGAGGTAAGGGAAGTTCACAGATAAGGAAAATGAGGCACAGTGAGGAGGGGACCCTCGCCCACAGTGGCCCAGTTACTGAAGAGATGGGCTGGACTTGAACCTCAGGAAAGATTCTGAATTCTCCAAGACAGTAACATGTCTCACGGGAAGGTAAGGGCCTGGAGGGCAGGGACGTGCTTGCTCTGGGCGACCGGCACCAACGACAGGGGCTGGCAGGAGGCACACAGGCCCCGTGCTGCAGAGCAAAGGGGGGACGCCAAAGATGAATTTATTCCTATCAGTCTTTTCACTCTTCTTTATCCTCAGAAAGGAAGGAGATAAGTCACAACATGAGTGCAGGGAAGAATTAGGCTTTGAACACATGACTGAACTTTAGTAAGAACAAGAAAGCAACTGTGCTGCGGAAAGAAGGTCGGACCCAGGAGGGAACCCCTCCAGGGGCCAGTGAGGCACCAGCAGATGTTAGGAAGAACAGATCAGAACAGTTACCTTCCCCCGATTCTCCAAGTGCTAAGAAACCTTGATGGATGGACAGAGGCAACCACAACCCTGAGCTACCAAGTCCAGCCAGAGCGTCGGGCAGCCTTCTAATTCAGAGACTGGACGTAACCAGCTAGGCGCTACCTCTGGTCCTCGTTCCCTTTCAGTTTGAAGCAAATCTCACCAAGAATGTGGCCATCTTTTGAGAAGATCAAAACTAGACATGGAAGGGAGGAGTGGTGGGATGTGTCGTAAAAAAAGGGGTGTATCATAAATTCATCCCCAAGCCTTAGTAAGAAAAAAGTATTGCAGAGAGAAAGGGAGATGCGGCGATTCCCTCTCTGCCAGTGGAGATGCTCCATTTGGGTGACTTCTGACATGATGCGAATCTGCAACACAAGACAGTCCGGCATAGTCTGAAACTTACTTTTGCAACTATCTAAATTGGCCATTCACCATCTTCGAATGTTTCAGACACAGCACTTACATAACTTTTGAAATTGGTGTTTTGTTTTGTTTTTTTACCCAGAGCCAGGGGAATGAACAGCTAAGTAAGCCCAGCTCCCATTGTGTGTAAAATTGATGTCAACTGAGCAACTGAACATTTATCTTGTGCAGACTGCCCTATTTCTTAACTAAGGTTTTGGAAAGCAAATCAACTTCAGAAACTGTAAATTGATTTTTTTTTAAAGAAACTTATCAAAGAGAGAAAATAACCTCTGGAGTTGAAGACCAGATTTACAATAGAGATGGTCGTGGTGGAGTGGGATTGGGCACAGGGCCATCATGTTAGCCTTGTTTTTCTGACTTCATGTCCGAAAGAAGACCCTTTGTGGAGTGCACGTTATTAAGCAAATGTTAACACTTGAGCTCAGCAGTGGAGAGAGCAGGGAGGAAAGGTTAACAAGAAGTGACTCCTCAGAAGCTCGATTCAGGGACAAACTTCTGATGCCCAAGAGATGAAAAAGTAAATTAAAAATACTTATTACATAACCTAACCATTTGTACTGCCATAATATGCTGAAATAAAAAAAAAATAAAAAATAAATAAAGCAATGATGCCAGATTTTTATCACCAAAAGATAAAAATCAAAAAAAAATACTAAAAAATTAAAAATACTTAGGACACAGAGCAGACACAATAGGGTGACACCCAGGCATATGAGTCTTTCCTGGATGCTAAAACTGGGATAATTCCAGATAAACCAAGACTGCTGGTCATCTGCCCTGTTTATGAGCACATCCCACCCCTCCAGGTTTGCATTCTTTACTTTGGATAAAAATAGTTGGCTTTTGTCCAAAGTGTTAGGTCACCACGTTACAGATTTCAAAGGTGGCCCAAACCAGACCCCATAGTATGGGATCATCATTAGCACAGCCCCTGTTGGGGACAGAGCCTCAGTGTGTTATTTAATTCCTGGGACCAGGGTGTGCCCCTATTGTGTCTCAGACAGCATGCCAGCTAAGGACTGAAATAACTGCGGGGTCATTGATACTCCGCCAGACGAAGCATGAATGAGTAGTCAGAAATCTCTGTAGCGTTCACCCAGTCCAAATACTGACTGTTCTGAAGTTAGGAGTATTAATTCCCCCAAAGAAAAGAAAAAAAAAAACATACTTTTTCCAAAAATATTTAAAAGGAATAATTGTCATTTACAAAAATGTGTGCCTACATTAGCCCTCTTCTAGAATGATGGTCTAAAATGCAGCTATCAGAAAGTGAGAATGTGCATTTCATATGAGACCAGGGTGGAGGCAAGAGCTGTGTTATCTCGTAGATCAGACTTTCCAGACAACACTGCTTTCATTATGTACAAATGCATAACTTGTGTGCAGGAAAAAAATACATCTAACATAAACAAGTAACTCAGAAAGTGCCCCGAACACATTGGCAAGTCAGGAAGGAGCAATTCACATTAGAATAATTTGATATTACTATTTCCTAAAGATAGAGCAAAGCTTTCTTGATTAGCTTTATTTTCCTAATACAAGTCTCACAAATCACATATCTTTGTCTAACATTTGCCTAACATTTAGTTCATACTGAAAAGTCTTTTTTTTTTTTGGCAGTTAGCCCAGTAAAATAAGAAAGATTTCCTTTAGAGCAACTCTGAAACCTCAAAGGTCAAAGAACAAAAGACTTATTCAGAATGAGTAAAAGAGCAGGGAAAGAAATTATTTCAAGTTACATACACATTGGTGGTAAAGATGCCATAGATCAAATCCAGCTCGGGCAGGAAGAAAGTGCTCTGCAATTCGTTGTAGTAAAAGGGGACCTCCCCGGGGCGCGAGCAGTTCAGGCGTGCCTTCATGAACGTGGTCCAGGTGTCCTCGAGCAGGAACCGCCCTCCGATGTCGTTCTTGCAGACCCGGGCAGCCCTGGAGAACACGGTTTTCCCGCAGTCATGCTCCACGGCATTTTCTCGGAAAAAGAAGTAGGTAAAATTTCCGATGTCATAAGATGACACGAAGTTTGGTTCTGGAAACAACAAGAAAGAAGAAAAATCTCAACATCCATGTACTAATCCTTTTTTGTCTTACCTGTTCGGTATTTCTTCCAAAGAGATGTGGTTTTGTTTAGACAACGCCTGGTTCTTATGAGACAAGTGGGAGGCCCTGTGAGCAGGTTAATGACCTACGCTGCTGGGAAGCTCAGTGTCACACGCAAGTTCCGAATGATAGGTAGTCATCAGCGTCATTCCACCCTCAAGTATCCCGAACTAAATCAGTGCACAAGTGAACGTGACGTTGATGCCATCAAAAACAGGCAGCGAAGAGGTGCAGTACGTTTTAAAGCAATATGCATGACTTCATTTGCAAATTCTTACATAATCTTCAGAAAGAGAGGGAGAAAATAAGACTAAAAGAATGAAATGTGATTCAGAAACTAGGAGTCTACAGTCCTGTTTGTGTGCAAGACAACAAAATTATTCGACTTATATCCACTCATATGACTTCGACACAATTTATGTGATTTTACTAAGGACTCCAAAAATGTTTTTTCACTGATGGAAACTAAAACAAAAACTGTAATAAAACCATAAAATTAGTGCCTGGAATTAGCTTTAGCAATCCCATTATTATGGTGACCATGTAAGTGTGAGAATAAAATCTTATTTTCTTATTTCTGGGTTGCGGGGAAATCCATTTAGAGGAGGGAAGAGTACTGAGATGGAGACATTGCCTTGTAGCTTCCTGGTCTCATAATTAGCTTAAAATGGGGATTCGGAAATGACAAAATTATGGCAAAACCTTTAACCACCAAGTTCATCAGGAATTTAGGAAGCATTGATTATGAACAGAATTTTACATATAGCATTCAAAGTGTTAGCGTCCTAACTTCCTGTTTGAGATCACTGAAAATAGAAATGAAACCATTTCAGACACAGATATGCCCTTATATTTGCCTTTAAAACCTCTAATAACCAGGTTTCATTCTTATTCTTTTCTCTATTTCTGAGAGCTTTCCATTCAATCAGCAAGCATCCGAATTTTATGGTGCAATTAGGATAATTATGGCAATAACCTTTGGTGTTCAAAATTAATAGAAAGATAAAGACAACAGCTACATCCACAAGGACACATTTTCAGGGAAAATTAGTTTATTGGGGCAATTCAATTGGCCTTGTATTTTTCCAGATCCAATTGGATTGTACCAATAAACATGTTATTGGCAGGACAACTAAAACTATGATTGGCTGCAAGACAAGTCATTACTGCTAAGAATAAGACACTGGCTCACCTAAGGTCTGAAATGTAGACATTGACATGGAGTTGGGGTTGACTACTCTGCCATTCTGTCCATAAAGACTGTTGCCAATTTTCAATCAATACATATAATCGGTATCATCACAAAATGTTTCAATTTAATTCAACTTTCAAAAATGTAACAAAAATACTAAATGGCTTATGTATTATGCTTTTCCCTTCAGTACAATATACCGTTAAGTCATTTAAGCACATCAAGTAACATGCTGAGATTTTGACGAGAACTAATTTTAATTTATAAACTGTCAAACATATTCTTAGATCACTATTTCTTTCACCTGAAATGGATATTTAAACAAAAAAAAAACTGAATTGTATTAAAGGGTATGCGATGGAAGTTAGATATGTTTACTGTAATACTATGCTTTAATATTCTGGAGAGCTGCTTGCAAAACAGCAGGTTACATATTTATAACTTATGTTTTGGGAACATAAAGGAAATATTGGGGGTATTTTTGAATCCGTATTCCCTACAAGTCTCCAAAAGAGAATTACTTGATGAAGCAGACCCCAAAAGCAAAGACAGGGAACAATTACAAAACTATATTTGGTGTCTAAAGAAAACATTCCTGGCATGTCTAATTCTAAAGAGAAGGTTAAATCATTTCAAAATGGGTCCTGCACCCAGGGTTATATAACCAGGACTACGGTTGGAGCATTGTACTAAAAATAAACAAACAAAAAGTCACCACCATACTCATCATCAACAACAGCAACAACAAATTCTATCTAAGATGGAGAAAATAAAGAAAGAAAAATCAAGGGACAAGGTGTGTCTATCCTGGCACTAAGGTGACCAGCACATGCCCATGAGGAGTGAGGCAGAGACTACCAAAATGTATCAGACACAGAGGACTGACAACTACCCACTTCTGCTATTCACCTGAGGACAAATGGCATGGAAACCACATAGTGCTATCTGTAGTCTCTAGAAGGTCTCGAGCAGGAAAACAAACAGCTGCAAAGGAGAAAAGATCTTTCATGGTTTCTTCCAGGTCAAGGTTGGGTTTATCATAAGAACAGCCAATGTACGTAGCGTGTTAACTCTTGTGCCAAGCTCTGTACAGGCTCAGGGCTTTACACTTGAATATAAGTTCAGTGCTCATATTCCCATTAAACTCACACAGAGGTAGGTGCTGTGCTACTCTTCCCATTTCATGGATGAGGACACTAAAGCCCAGAGGTTTAGTGACTTGTCCAAGTTCACACAACTAGCAATGGGGGAGGGGCGGGTGAGGGGAAGTCCTGAATCCAGGTAGTCTGACCTTAGAGCCTACAAACTTACCATTATACTACACTGAAAAAATAGTCATCTGCAAGAGAACAATCAATTAACAATACGCCAACAACATTCAAGTGTAGGATTTGGATTTCTGGACAATGCTTTAGAAACCAAAATGGTGAGCTCTTGGCTGGAGAGTCATCCCATTCCAGTGGGAGTGGTTAGCCCAGGGACAGACTGAGAAGGGTTTTAGAACTGACTAGAAGGCAAGATAAATAACCAGATAAAACAAACCTACAGGTATCAGAGCCATCAGGAATGATTCAGAAAGAACAAAATGTGGGAGGAAGAAGCCAACAATTCAAGGACTTATTAAACAAGAATATTGTTGGGAAGTGTTTGATCCAGCTCTGGAGATGGTGTTTCAAATGGCACCCACGATAGCCTCAGGGTGACAATAAATGACTGTCGGGGGTCATTCCATGTCCATTTTCCATGCCAGTGAGCCACACCCCTGTGGGTTTCTCAGATAAGAGGGAAACTGAGTGATGGTCAGCAGACACCCACAGCTGCCTCTTTCCAGAGAGAGCCTCCAAGACCCTCCACACCCCCTGGACCAGTATTCCAGTCAGGTGACAAAATAGAGTTCTGATAGAATGTTCAAGTGCATTTTTACCTCTTGTTTGAGAAAACAAGAAAAGAATTTGTGTTCAGTATGTAATAGATGTTGTTCCCCAATTCACACCTTAGCACATACAGGTCATGTTGGTCTCGGAGCGAGATTACATTTCGAAACGTATCCTGCAGTTCTATGGTGATCCTTCAGGCCGATGGCAGGTCCCTCACTGGGTGACCCGCTGTTAACTTGGGAAGCTCTGTTTCTTGGAAAGCAGAGCCTCTTGAAATTCAGCCTGCATCCTGTTCCTCTTCAAAAGATAGTAAAAAAGCAGGAAGAACTGTTATGCAGACAAACATCTCTCATATTTATAGATATAAATTCAGAGGTAGGGGACATTTGAATATCACCGGGCAGGATAAGAAGATGCATGTTGTTTTCCTTCAGTTATTTACGTTCTGTCTCTTAAAATGCAATTCACCACAAACTAGTACCTGTCGCGCCTGAGCGAATGGAACAAGTCAGAATCAGGCATTGCCTTCCAGTCTACAATGAATATGAGTGCATGGGAGAGAGAGAACTGGAGTGTGCTGCTAACTAACTCAGAATAAAAACAGGCATGAGTATATGTCAGCTTATATATAAATATATGCACAAAAACTGTTTCTTCTCATTTTTATAAAACATACTGAGTTATGGATTACAGAGTATTATAGAAAACATATGTTAATGTTAATAAGTAGAATTATACTTCATGGTATAAGAATTTTTATTTCATATCTTTACTTACACAATAGTGATCATGCAGATGGGAGTACTGAGAAGAGACTCACAATATAAGGAATCATAAGTGTTGAGAAAAAGAAAAGAAACAAAAATTATGAGAAGATTTTGACCATGCAAAACCAAATGCTGAGCATGAAAAAGAAGCTTTCCATTCTACGTTCTTTCTATGCCAAAGCCTAGAACATCAATGTGGGTGCACCATGTTGAAACGAATCAACTTCATCATTAAGCAGATCACTGAAAGGTTCTTGACAAAGAAATATTTGTCTAAATCAACAAGAGTGGATATTAAAAGCACAGAGGAATTCCAGTTCTCCAACAAACATCTTACTAGCATCAAAATCTATCATAAATTATTTTACAAGCAAAAGCCACTTTATAATTTCCATTTCCAGTCAGGCTAGAAAATGGCTCTGCCAGGGCTGGACCTGTGACATCCGACATGCTCTGTCACCACATATGACAACTGGGGGTGCTGAGGACCTTCTTTGTAAAGCTGTAAGGATTAGATGGACTGGTACATAATGGGGCCCCAATAAATGGTGGCTATTATTATTATTATTTCATGATTTACTTTTGATGTCCCTTGGAATAATCTCTATTTAACAGAACTTCACATTATGACAATAAATGAGCAAACATCCATATATTGAGTTTAAAGGTGATCAAAATTTGAGGAGCATAAACACAGCCATGCTGAGTGTTTAAAGGAGCAAGCTATTTCTCAAAAAGAAAATGAGTTAATGGAAACAATCTTTAGCCATGACACACAGCCAGAAGTCTCCTGCTCCCTAAGTTGTTGGTGTCAGGCACCATAAAACCTCTTCCACAGACATTCCTAGATTTTAGACCCTTTCTGTACTGTGTACATTGCTTCCATTGTCACGGCTACATGGACATGTGCTGTACAGGCTTCCAAAGAAAGTCTAGTTTCATCTAGGTATTCATTAAAAATAGATCATTCAACTAAAATTAAATTAAGTTAAATTAAATTAAATGTAGATTAAAAGCTATTGGTGGACTAAAGTTCTTTTCCTGAGATTTCTACTAAAAGGTGGAAAGATAGACAAAAGATACATACAGATGA